CAGATTGCAATCAAGATCTGTTCCTAAGTCTGTCTTTAAGTCATATTTGTATATAAGTCAGAACAGAGACATATGGTTCTTATTTAGTATCAGTAAGTCAAATGTTGAACTCCTGATGTGGCGCTGTAGCATTAGCTCAGGACTGCAAACCACAGGTTGTCAGTTCAAACCTGCCACCTGCTCTTCGGAAACCCTATACAAGATTGCTATGAGTTGGAACCGACTTAACGGCCTTAACAACAACAACAACAAAGTCAAATGTTACTGTTAGTATTTAAGGGTGCTTCAAGGAGTTCATGGAAAAGTGGAAATAATAGATAATAGGATTTTTCCATGAACTTTTTGAAACAACTTCATATCATATATTTTATCTTTCTTTGCAATCTCTATCTCAGACTTCTCCTATATGAGAAGACTTCAAAAAGTTCATGGGGAAAAAAATCAAAAGGAACATACAAAGAAAGTAGGAGGAAGGAATAATAGATATTAGAAGTCAACCCAATAGAAAACGAAGAAGCAGAACACAGAATCAACAAAGTCAGAAGTTGGGGTTTTGAAAAAATAATGGAATTAATACAGACCTGGGAAGAGTAGTTGAGGAGGAAGGGTCACCATGGGTCACAACCGACTCAATAGCACTTAACAACAACTTATTACGGATTGCTGTTGTGGCAATGTAGGATCAGCACTGGACTGTGAACCACAAGGTTGGCAGTTCACACCCATTCAACTGCTCCTCAAAAACCCTATACAGGATTGTGATGAGTCAGAAGTGACTCAAAGGCAATTACCAACAACATTATGAATGAAAAGGGACACATAATCACAGATACAGCTAGGACCAAAAAAAAAAATAAAAAGAGAGAGAGAGTGAGAGATAACATCAACAATTTTAAATTAATATATTTGAAAACAAAAAAATAGACAAAAACAACTTACTAAGATTGATTCAAACATAAACTTAAAAGCCTGAGTAATCCTTTAGCAATTGAAGAACTTGAAGCTGTAAAAATCTTCCCACAAAACAAGTCACAAATCCAGATAATTTACAGATACTTTACCAAACTACCAAGGAATAGATACTCTAATCTTAAACTCTTTCAGGTAAATAAAAGAGGGGGATGGATATAAGGTTGATAAAACAAAGTTAAAATTAGGCAAAGTCTGTGTAAAAATGAAATAGCACAATCTTACTCAAGAATAGCTGCAAGAAGAATGAAACAAGACCTATATATCACAGCAAATACAAAAACAAACTAGCAGGTACAAAAGACCTAAATGTAAAACCTAGTACTACAAAAATTAGCAGTAGAAAAATAGGGACAGACCTAGGGGATCTAATACATGGCATAAGCACAGTATCAAACATTATTAAAACAGCAAAAGACAAAAGAGATGACTGGGACCCCCTAAAAATTTAACATTTATGTGCATCAAAAGATTTTTCTGAAGGAATAAAAAGGGAGTCAAGAGATTGGGAAAAAAAGTTTTTGCAATGATATATCAGGAAAGGGATTAATCGAGAAAAGATTGAAGTTGTCAAGGGCTTCATTCTTCTTAGATCAACTATCAAGACTCAAGGAAGCAGCAGTCAAGAAATCAAATGACGTATTGCATTAGGCAAATCTGCTGCATAAGACCTTTTTTAAAGTATTGAAGAGCAAAGATGTCAGCTTGAGGAATAAGGTGCGCCTGACCCAAGCCATGATATTTTGAGTAACCTCATATGCATGCAAAAGCTGGAGAGTGAATAAGGAAGACCATAGAAGAATTGATGCTTTTGAGTTATGGTGTTGGAGGAAAATATTGAAAGTGCCATGGGCTTCCAAAAGAACCAATAGATCTGTGTTGGAAAAGGTGCAGCTAGAGTGCTCCTTGGTGGCCAAGATGGCCAAACTTCGTCTCTCATACTTCGGACATGTTGTCAGGAGGGACCAGTTGCTGAAGAAGGATATCATGTTTGGTAATGTGGAGGGTCAGAGAAAAAGAGGTTCTTTTGGCAGTCCATGGCACTTTCAATATTCTCCTCTAACACCATAACTCAAAAGCATCAATTGTTCTACAGTTTTACTTATTCACTGTCCAGCTTTCACATGCATATGAGGTTATTGAAAATACCATGGCTTGGGTCAGGTGCACCTTAGTCTTCAAGCTGACATTTTTGCTCTTCAACACTTTAAAAAGGTCTTGTGCCGCATCCACAAGAAATAAGAGCCAGGACATGAGTAGATACATGCACACCAATGGTCATAGTAGCACTACTCACTATAGCAAAATGATGGAGACAGCCTAAATACCCATCAAAGAAAGAGTGATAAACAAACTTTGGTACATACGCACAAGAGAATACTATGCAACCCTGAAGAACAACAACGAACCTATGAAACACCTCAAAATATGGCTGAACTTGGAGGCCATTATGACGAGTGAAATAAGTCAATCACAAAAGGACAAATATTGTATGAGTCCACTATTGTAAAAACTCAAGAAAAGTTTTCATACTAGAAGAACTGTTCTTTGATGGTTACCATGGGAGATGGGAAGGGAGAAGAATTTACTGGCTAAAGCAAGGGTGGGAAACCTTATTTCTGCCAAAATGTTTAGTGTCATTCATGGCCATAAAAAGTTCTCAACTTAAAAATTCGTCAAACATTTAATCAACTCACCCCTAATGTGATGTCTTGGAGTCCTTGTGTGGTACTGCAGGTTAATTTGCTGGACTGCAAGGCTGGTTTGAATTGTAAGATCAGCAGTTCAAGCTCACCAGTTGCTCATCAGAAACTCTATACAGGGTTGCTGTGAATTGGAACCAACTTGATGCCACTTAAGAACATTGTGATACCTGGAACTGTGATTGCCTTCCTAGGACCAGACCAAATTATTTTGAAGGCATTATATGGCCAGCAGGTGGGACAATCCCCATACCTGGGCTAGAGAGTTGTTGTTGTTAAGTGCTGTTGAGTTGGTTCCAACTCATGGTGACCCTGTATAGGGTTTCTGGTAAGCGTCTGGTGAGTTTGAACCACTGATCTTGTGGTTCAAATCGAACTTGCAGTCCAGTGCATTATCCCACAGCACCAAGACATATGTTAACTCAGGCAATGGGGATGGCAATGTACAAGAAGAGGGAAGTTGGCAGAAGAATGATGAAGACAAGTGGAGACACAGGGAGGTAGGCAAGGGCTAAACTAAATAGAGGCAACTAGTGAGACATACACAGCCTTGGAACAATGTAGTTACATGGGCAGAGACACAAGGGATGGGAGGATGAGTGGGATATATATTTATTTATATATTCCACAAATAGATAAGTATTTGAAAGAGGCTATTTGTACATAGGTAGCCACAGGGAGTCCTGGTGTGTCACTGTGGGTTAATGTGCCAGACTGCAAAGCCATTTGAAATGCAAGGTCAGTGGTTCAAGCTCACCAGCTATTCCTTGGAAACCCTATACAGGGTCGCTATGGGTCAAATCCGATTCAACAATACTTAACAACAACAACAACCACAAGGAGGAAGCAGGACAACTGTTGCATGGAGGGGATCACAATCATTGAAATGAAACCAAGTGTATAATTCGCTAAATTTAAAACTGATGATAGTGTCTGTACACCTTCACTCAATTCGAAATAAAGTTTCTTTAAAAAAGTTGCAAAAATTCTAAAGAAATTATTAAGCAAATTGAATCCAACAGAAGTTCTTTTCAATGCAATGAGGCAATGTAATGAGGTTTGGAAAAGTGGGAAAAACACTGGTAATATTTGCAGATTATATAATTGTCTACATAGAAAACCCAAAGGAATTGCTATATAATTACTTAAAATAAGAGTTTAGCAAGATGGTTGGATATAAGGCCAATATACAAAAGCCAACTTCATTTCAGTCACTAGAAATTAGAAAACATACTTTTTGAAAAGAGATCATTTAAATTAGCAAAGAAGTTATAAATTATCTAGGTCAGAATTGATTACAGATGTGTAAAACAGATTGCAAATTTTTCTTGAAGGAAATCAATGATGACTGAACTAACTGAAAAGATATTGCATGTTCACCTAGCTGGCCCACCAATGTTACTTGAAGCTCTAGATATTCAACCTAAATCTTAAATTTAGGGTGACTATCCAGTGTTTATTCTACAATGTCGTACCTGGACATTGTAACTTGATACAGTGGTCTTGGAGTCCTGGTGTAGCACAGCAGGATAATGCACTGGACCGCAAGGTTGGTGTAAATTACAAGGTTGGTGGTTCAAACTCACCAGCAGCTCCTTGAAGACCCTGTACAAGGTTGCTATGAGTCAGAACAGACTCAACAGCACTTAATAACAACATAGTGGTCTTAATAGGTCACTCTTTATATCTCTAGTAGTAACACAAATGGGTTTCAACTTGCATGTAAAGCCAGGTTAATTCTTAATAACTTCCAGAAATCTTGTGTTGAAAAGGATTCTGGTACAGAGACTTGGTGCAAAGCTTGTCTGCAGTGGATGTGAGGAGACTAGAGGAAGCAAGTGTGCCTGGAAGTCTTCAAGTCAGCTTATCAACAGTAGCTACAGTATTCCCAGTGACTCCATAGGGTCACTGTGAATCACAATAGACTGAATGGCAGATGGTTTGGCTTATAGCCAACAGACCTTTTATCGCCTATAGTCATGGGACTATTCTCATTGATCCCTTTCTTTGATACACCACAATGCAGTCTGTTTAACTATTGTACATGCACAGCTTACGATCTCTTACTTTTTGTTTTTCTCCCCCATTAGACTCTGTTACGTTGTTAAGTGCCATTGAGCGGTTCTGACCCTGTATAGGGTTTCTGAAGAGTGGCTGGTGAGCTTGAACTGCCGATTTCGCGGTTCATACTGGCCTTGTAGTCCAGCATGTTAAATCACAATGCCACACCAGGACTTTATTGGACTATAAGCTCCATGAAATACTCTATTTTGTTCCATCTACGGGTAGACGGAGGTAGTTATGTATTTACACAATAAAGGCACTTACCCATTTTACCCCAATTACAGGGATTGATGGTACCAGATGTGCAGTGGTAGATTAATGTAGATTTAGGTCTGGAAAAGGAAATAAAAATTAGATAAATAGAACAAGAGGGAAAACTAATGAAAAGATGATAAGGGACAATAGTGTTTATGCAGCATTGGTTGCATATTTCCCATGACTACAGAAACCTGTGCAATATTTCCAACTTTAGGATTAATAAGCAAAATGAAAGAGGACGGGAAATGCGTGTGTGTGAGACAGAGAGAAATGTCACACTGGTGTGACATTTATGGAGCAAAGGGAAGTATCATGTAGATGTGAAAACATCATATTTTTAATTTCTGGATATTTTTATTGGACAAATGGGCAATGTTTTATCCTAAGTGCAGCAAAACATCGCAGGATTGGAAAACATTTAAATGTCTGATTTCACATAGGGAAATTTATTTCTTTTTACTTTTACTAACAGAGCCAAATGCATGAGCAACTCTTTTTTTTCCCTTTGTATTAGCAGTTTCTTCATAAATGGTGATCTGAACTTGACATCAGGAACAGAGCAGTCCAATAAAATATTTTAAATAATCTGATTTTTTTTTTCACTTCAATCTCCTTTACCTTTTATAAAAAAAGGAATCAGTCTTTTAGATTGCTGAATAGAAAGAAACACATTTTGGTTACTAAAGAGTTTTATGATAAAAGGATTAAAAAGGTTTGTGATCAGCCAGTACTATGCAGTATTTTTAAGAGAACACAATGCATAGTCGTATCTGATCACGTGAAACTGTATAAAACACTAAAACAAAAACTCTGCCACACCTGGAATCTTGTGTGATAAAATGTCTGTTCTGGAAATGCACTTAAAACTTTCACTCTTGTCATCATCAAATCCTTAAAGAGAGTCTAAGCACCATCCCACCTGTGAACTGCGGTGTACCAGCCTACTGCCAAGGTGAGATTGACGACAGTGTCAACGGGAATTACATCAGCTACTGCCTTGGGAGTAGCTTTTAAGGATCGAAGCAAGCCTTTTCCGATCTGCAAAGAAAAAAAGAACACAATATATTACACATGGTCTTAAGTAACATTTGAGGCTAAAGTATACATGAAATTGTTGCTACATGTCACTGAGTTAGTTTTGACTCATATATGAAATAGAGAATGCCAATTAACAGCATTGGCAGTACCTAGGGGTTACAAGTCAGGCTGCTAACCTCAAAGTTGGCAGTTCGAAACTACCAGCCGTTCCATGGGAGAAAGATGAGGCTTTCTGCTCCCCGTAAAAGTTTCAGCCTCAGAAGCCCTATACAGGGTGACTATGAGTCGGAATTGACTCCATGGCACACAACCACCAACGTCATTTCATAGAGGAGCCAGAAACGACTCAACAGCACTTAACAACAACAACAATTTCATAAATGTTTATGCTGGTGTGGTGCTGCTGCGGGCTAATGCACTGGATTGCAAAGTCAGTTTGAACAGCAAGGTCAGTGGTTCAAGCTCACTATCCACTCCTCAGGAACCATATACAAGGTCACTATGATTCAAATGGACTCAACAACAACAACAACAATGCTGTTAATAGTAGAAATGAACATTGATTCACTTCTTACTAGGTCAGTGGGATAAGTCAGCCTGCTTTCAACCTCCCCAGCCTCCCTTGCCAAGTTCATCTTGTTCATTTCCACTATCAGCATTTCCATGAATTACTAGTTTTTCTCAGGTGCCTTTAGGGAGTGAAATCCCACACATTTATGTGAGTTTAGTATGTTGTTGTCGTTGTGAAGTACCATCAATTCAGTTCTAACCCATAGCAACTCTGTACAGAGTTTCCAAGGAGCAGCTGGTAGGTTTGAATTTCCAACCTTGAGGTTCAAATCAACCTTGAGGTCAAGGGCTTATCCTATAGCGCCATACCAAAAATAGGGTTTTACATAATAAAAACGAATTCAAAAACATTTTTTAAATGAAGGTTTTCTAGAGGAACAAAGTCTTGATACATGCTATAACATGGATGGACCTTTAAAACAGTATGCTGAGTGAAATAAGTTCATTACAAAAGTACAAATATTGTATGTTCCAACTTACATGAGATACTTAGACCAAACATTGAAAAAGATCAAAGTTTTTAGTAGTTACTAGGGGTAGGAATCAAATGACGTATTGCATTAGGCAAATCTGCTGCACAAGACCTTTATAAAGTGTTGAGCAAAGATGTCAACTTGAGGACTAAGGTACACCTGACCCAAGCTATGGTATTTTCAGTAACCTCATACGCATGTGAAAGCTGGACAATGAATAAGGAAGATCATAGAAGAATTATGGTGCTGGAGAAGAATATTGAAAGTGCCACGGGCTACCAAAAGAACAGACAGATCTGTGTTAGAAGAAGTGCAGCTAGGGTGCTCCTTGGAGGCCAGGATGGCCAAACTTCGTCTCTCATACTTCGGACATATTGTCAGGAGGGACCAGTCGCTGGAGAAGGATATCATGTTTGGTAAAGTGGAGTCAGAGAAAAAGAGGAAGACCCTCAGTGAGATGGATTGGGAAAGTGGCAGCATCAATGGGCTCAAGCGTGACAACGATTTTGTGAGGTTGGCCCAGGATCAGGCAGTGTTTCATTTTGTTGTGCATAGGGTCGCTATGAATCGGTACCAACTCGATGGCACCTAACAACAACAACAACAATGGTAGGAAGGAAGTGGTAAGGGGAGTCATTGTTAGGAAGCACTGAATATCTGTTGATAGTGATGAAAAACTTGGAAACAGGTACTGGTGCTATTTGCACAACATGATTCATGTAATTGGTTCCACTGAAGTATACATGGAAGAAATGCTGAATTGGCTAATGTGTTATATGTACATTTGAACATTTTGTTGTGGTTTGAGTGAAAGTTTACAGAGAAGTTAGTTTCCCATTCAGCAGTTTGTACACATTTGTTTCACGATATTAGTTGCAATCCCCTCAGTGTTACAGCATGCTTCCCACTTCCTCCCTGGATTTCCTGTTTTCAGTCTTCCTGTTCTGCCCCTTCCTGTCTTCTGAACTTAACTGCTGGACAGTTAAGTTACATGCTGCACTTTTGGTCTTGTATGGTTAATTCTGAGGAGCATGTTCCTCTTGGGTGTTATTGTACTCTTTATGTTGTTGTTAAGTGCCATTGAATCGGTTCTGACACATAGTGACCTGTATAGGGTTTCCATGAAGCAGCTGGTGAGCTTGAACTGGCGACCTTGTGGTTCAAACTGACTTTGCAGTCTGGCACTTTAACCCACAGTGGCATACCAGGACTCCCTTTATAGGCCTCCTTTCATTGCTTGGCTGAAATGTGAAAAGTGGGTTCAGTTCCAGGTTTGAAGGGTGTCTGAGGGCCATAGTCTTAGGGTTCCACCAGTCTGTACCAAACTAGTAAGTCTGGTGTATTTTATAGTTTTGAATTTTGTTCTACATTTTCTCCCACTATATCCAGAACATTCTATTATGACCCCCTTTAGAGTGGTCAGTATTGGTAGCTGGGGCCATCTTGTTCTGGTCATAAGCTAGTGGAGTCTTTGGCATATATTTTTATAACAATAAAATAAAGTTTTCTAAAATTTTCATTAATATTACTTTATAATTTCTTAAATGATATTGTTTTCTGCTAGTCCTTAGTAATTTACAAATAATGTTGCTATCAAGTGCCGTCTAGTAGGTTCTGACCCATAGTGACCCTGTATAGGGTTTCCGAGGAGCAGCTGGTGAGCTTGAACTGCCGACCTTGTAGTTCAAATGGCTTTGCAGTCTGGCGCTTTAACCCACAGTGCCACACCAGGACTCCTACAAATAATAGTCGGCCCTAAAAGTTCAAGAAACATTTATTTAAAATGCTACCATATAACAAAAACCTTTTAATACTTGCAAAAAAGGAACACTTGTTTATATTTTTCTTCAGTATCTTAGTTTACTTCATAGATCACATGCAAGGTTTGAGACTTATTCATATTATTAGTTTATTAACTTTATGAAGCAAGTTTACTATTCATACCCTTATTTCCAACTTTTATGTTCCGTGGTCAACACTTTATTATACTCCTAATTTCTGTTTTCTTATAAGCAAGTCTCCTTCCTTTGAACATAAGAAACCAGTTTGGAAATTTTTAGAAAATTGGAATAAATATACAGCTTTGTAAACAATGTAATAAAACCCTTTCTGGGATCATATTAAATAATTATTTACTAAATCACCAAATTTTCATTTTAATTAAGCCTTAAAAAAGAGTAAGAGGTAGGGAGAGAACAGAGAGGGACTGCTAGAAAGACCAAAAATTAGAAGGATGCCCATTATCACTGTCTTTGGAAAGTCATCATTCACTGTCTTACATTAGTCCTTAAACTTAGGTTGGACTTAGTTCTGAGAACAGCAGAGAAAGAGTCTGAAGTATCAGATGCCTAATAGGAATTAAACTCATTTAGGTCATTGAACTTTTAATTTTCCTAAAGATTAAAGTTGTGGTTTCCAGCACTCATATGTCAGTTTGCCCTACTGTGGTAGCTTGAGTGTTGCTGTGATGCTGGAAGCCAGGCTGCCAGTATTTTATATACCAGTAGGGTCACCCTTAAGGAGCTCTGGTAGTGTAGTGGTTAGGAATCGGACTGCGAACTACAAGGTCAGCAGTTTGAAACTACCGGCTGTTCTGTGGGAGAAAGATGAGGCATTCTGCTCCCATAAAGATTTACAGCCTCGGAAACCCTGTGCAGGGTCGCTATGAGTAGGAACCGACTCCATGGCACATAACAACAACAACAGGGTCATCCATAGTGGACACGTTTCACCTAAACTTCAGGATTAAGACAGACTAGGAAGAAGGAGAGGTGGACTACTTCTGAATGTTTAACCACTACATATTTAAGAATAGCAGTGAAACACTGTTCAACAGTACCAGAATATTGAATATGGAAAAATGAATAGCAGATTTTATATTCATTTTTAATATTGTCAGATATAGTACCAGAAGATGAGCCCCTCAGTTTGGAAGGCACTCAAAACATGACCGAGGACGGACAAGTAGAGTTGACTGTGATAAAGCTTTCAGGACTTTCATTTATTGATGGAACAAATTTTTAGTTCAAAATAATTAGAACATGGAATGTACAAAGTTTGAATCTAGGAAAATTGGAAATTGTCAAAAATGAAATGGAACATATAAACATCAATGGACTGGTATTGGCCATTTTGAATCTGATAATTGTATAATTTACTATGCCAGGAATGACAAATTCCAGAGGAATGACTTCACATTTATCACCAAAAAGAATATTTCAAGCTCCTATCTTGAAGTACAGTACTGTCTGTGATAAGATAATATCTATATTCCTATAAGGAAGACCAGTTAATGCCATTAGTATTCAAATTTATACACCAACCACTAAAACCAGTGATGATGAAATTGAAGATTTCTCCCAACTTCTTCAGTCTGAAACTGATCAAACATGAAGTCAAGATGCATTGATAATTACTTGTTATTGGAAGGTAAAGGTTGGAAACAAAGAGGAAGGATAGTAGTTGGAAATTATAGCTTGAATGATAGAAATGATACTTGAGATTGCATGATAGAATTTTGCAAAACCAATGACTTCTTCATTGCAAATATCTTTTTTAAAACAACATAAAAGATGATTATACACATGGATCTCACCAGATGGAATACACAGAAATCAAATTGACTATATATGTGGGAAGAGACGATGGAAAGCGCCATATCTTCAGCTAAAACAAGACCAGGAGCAGACTGTGGGACAGATCCATCAATTGCTCATATACAAGTTCAGCGCAAAGTTGAAGAAAATGAAAACAACTCCAGAAGAGCCAAAATGTGACCTTCAAAATATCCCACCTGAATTTAGACGTCATCTCAAGATGCGCTAGACATTTATGACTAAATACCAGAAGAGTTGTGGGATGACATCAAAAATATCATCTAGAAAGAAAGCAAAAGTTCATTAAGAAATAAAAAGAAGGAAAAGACCAAAATGGATGTCAGAAGAGACTCTGAAACTTGCTCTCCAACATAGAGATGCTAAAGCAAATGGAAGAAAAGAGCTGAACAGAAAATTTCTAAGTGCTGATTGAGAAGACAGAATCAAGTATTATAATGAAATGTGCAAAGACTTGTAATTGAAAAACCAAAAGGGAAGAATACACTCAGCATTTTTCAAGCTGAAAGAATGGAGGAAATAAATCATGCCTCAACTTCTATATTGAAGGGTTCCATGAAGTCCTGGTAAGATAAGCACTGGACCACAATGTTGGTTTGAATGAAAAGGTCGGTGGTTCAACCTTACCAGCCGCTCCTTGGAAATCCTATATAGGGTTGCTACAAGTTGGAACTGACTTGACAGCACTTAACAACAGTAACAATGGGAAAAATATTTAATGATACAGAAAGCATCAAAAGATGGAAGGAATGCACAGAGGCATTGTAACAAAAGAAATGGCAGATATTCAACCCTTTCAAGAAGTACCATATGATCAAGAGCCAATGGCACTAAAGGAAGAAGTCTTGGACTGAAGACATTGGCAAAGAACAAGGAACCGATGGAATACAAATTGAAATCTTTCAACAAACTGATGAAGCAATGGAGGCACTCACTCACTCATCTATGCTAATAAATTTGGAAGACAGCTACCTGGCCGACTGACTGGAAGAGATCCATATTTGTGCCCATTCCAAAGAGAGGTGACCCAATGGAATGCAGAATTCATCAGACAATATCATTAATATCACAAGCAAGTAAAATTATGTTAAGACAACTCACACACGGCTGCAACAGTACATTGACAGAGAACTGCTGAGGTTCAAGTTGGATTCAGATGAGGACATGGGATGAGGGATATAATTGCTGATGTCCGATGGCACTTGGCTGAAAGCAGAGACTCAGAAATATGTTTACTTGTGCTTTATTGACTATGCAAATCTTTTGACTGTGTGAATCATGAAAAGTTATGGATAACAGTGTGAAAAATGGGTATTCCAGAACACTTAATTATGCTCATGAGGAATCTATATGTAGACCAAGAGATGGTCATTTGAACAGAACAAGGTGACACTGGATGGTTTAAAACCAAGATTGTATTCTTTCACCATACTTATTCAATCTGTAATCTGTATGCTGAACAAATAATTCAAGAAGTTGGATTATATGAAGAAGAAACTGGCAGCATGTTTGGAAGAACACTTGTTAACAACCTGTGATTTGAAGATGATACAACCTTGCTTGCTGAGAGTGAACAAGACTTAAAATACTTACTGATGAAGATCAAAGACCACAGCCTTCAATATGGGTTGCACCTTAATGTAAAGAAAACTCCTCACCACGGGACCAATAAATAACATCATGGTAAACGGAGAAAAGATTGACGTTATCAATAACTCCAGGTTACTTACATCCACTATCAACATTCATGGAAGCATCAGTCAAATCAAAAGATGTATTGCACTAGGCAAATCTGCTGCACAAGATCGCTTTAAATTGTTGAAGAGCAAAGATGTCAGTTTGAAGACTAAGGTACACCTCACCTAAGCCATGGTATTTTCAATAGCTTCATATGCATGTGAAAGTTGACAATGAATAAGGAAGACCATAGAAAAATTAATGCATTTGAGTTACGGTGTTGGAGAAGAATATTAAAACTACCATGACTTTCAGAAGAACAAACAAATCTGTGTTGGAAGGAATACAGCCAGAATGCTCCTTAGAAGTCAGGATGGCAAGACTTTGTCTCTCATACTTCAGGTATATTATCAGGAGGAAGCAATCTCTGGAGAAGGACATCATGCTTGGCAAAGTGAAGGTCAGTGAAAAAGAGGAAGACTCCCAACAAGATGGACTGGCACGGTGATAGCAGCCATGGATTCAAGCATAACAATGATTTTGAGGCTGGTGTAGGACCCATCAGTGTTTGGTTCTGTTGTGTATAGGGTTGCTATGAGTAGGAACTGACTGGACAGCACCTAACATTAGCAACAACAAAGCTGTGGTTCTAGTCCTAAGAGTTGGTGTGAGATGTGAAGCAGCACACTGCAGTGACAAGGTAGCTAACAAAGAGGAATGATTGACTGTTTCCCTGTCTCCCAGAGAACAATTGTTGAAAAAATGTTTTGCATATTAATTAATTTTTCTATTTGGAAATTTTCTTTAATTTGTAGTTCTCTTGTAGCTCTTGAAATTTTTTCTGTAATTGGTAGAATGAGTTATTGATGCATTATTTTGCAATATCCATCTCTGTCTTATCATCCACACACATATGTAATTATATACATGTATTACTATATAATCAAGAATTTAATATTTGAGTATATTTTTACTGTATTACCAATTCACTGCACAAAACTACTAGTATGTGGTGAAAAGGAGGAAATATCTCCATCTTGTGGTAGCTAAAGAAAAATACATGCACAAAAATTTCCCAAAACAACCCAGTAATTGATATTACCAAACTTCTGTTTTTCTAATAGAAAAATCCATAAATTGCAAAGTTAATAATATCCTATCTCTAGTCACAATAACCTTCATGTTTTTGGAACAATGAAGCCAAGTCAGCATCAAACATTTTGTTACTATCCCTCCACTCAATTTCCAGGAGTTGTTTCCCCATCATGATACAAACCGCAATAATGAGCCCGGAAGGTCCATTGATGTTATCAACCCAACCCTACAAAAAAGAAAATCATTATTAGTTACTCATGTTAAAAAATGTATTTTTTAACTCATGTTAAAAAAAAGTATCTTTGAAACAGCTACCATCTAATCTTAATAATTTTAAACTAAGAACACCAAGACTTCAGCCAATGTTGTTGTTGTTGAGTGCTGTTGAGTTGGTTCTGATCCATAGCAACCCTGTATAGGACTTCCAAAAAGCAGCTGGTAAGTTCTAACCTGGTGGTTCAAACTGACCTTGTGGTCCAGTGCATTATCCCACAGCACCACCCTAGCCAACAGAACTAGTATTTTTAACAATTCTAAAGACCAAGCATGCAAAAGCTGGACAGTGAATAGGGAAGACCGTAGAAGAATTGATGTTTTTGAGTTATGGTGTTGGAGGAGAATATTGAAAGTGCTGTGGGCTGCTGAAAGAACCAATAGATCCGTTTTGGAGAAGTACAGCCAGAGTGCTCCTTGGAGGCCAGGATGGCCAAATTTTGTCTCTCATACTTCGGACATATTGTCAGGAGGGACCTGTCGCTGGAGAAGGTTTGGTAAGGTGAAGGGTCAGAGAAAGAGAGGAAGACCCCCAGCAAGATGGATTGGCCAAGTGGCAGCATCAATGGACTCAAGAGTGGCAATAGTAGTGAGGTTGGCCCAGTGTTTCGTTCTGCTGTGCATAAGGTTGCTATGAGTCGGTACTGACTTGATGGTACTTAACAACAACAAAAGACAAATGGCAAAGAACTGGCTATATTCTGTAGTTTATTTGTGTAAGAAATTAAATTTGCCAACTTTTTCTTTTTTTCATATGAGTAGAGTCTTGTTTCATAACCTCTTACGAACTAAATTTGAATCTTGTCTTAATGTCATCATCAACTAATCAGTTCATCAACCATAAGTGTTTTCCACATCCTGAAACTTCAATTTAAGCTCAAGTTGTAGGGAAACATTTAAAACATATATGGAAATTAACCCATTTATTGGAAACTATAGTCGGAACCGACTCGACGGCACGTAACAACAACAACAACATAGCAATCATAGAGTCTGTAACAGTTATGCTTGTGTGTTATTTTGCTAAGAGACGCTAGAGGAATGATATTTTAGGAGCAATTAGAGGGAAATTTATTTGTGTTTGTTTCCTAAGCCCTAAGCAATTATTTAAATTTATCATGTCAGATTCTTTGTCTTTAGAAATCAAAACATACGTATGTAATGGGCGAAGAAAAAGAGAGGCTGGGATGAAGGGATTTGTTTAGTCAGACATTTCACTAGGGAACCCTGGTAGCGTAGTGGATTAAGAGCTGGACTTCTGTTTGACTGTACTAGTTGCTTTGTGGGAGTAGGATGGGGCCTTCTGTTTCTGTAAAGATTTACAGGGTCAGAAACCTTATACTGGGTCATGATAAATCGGAACCGTCTTGGTGGCACACAACCACCAACAGACCAAGCACTGTATTAAGCACTCTTAAAATACATTGTCTCATTTAATCAATGCCCCAAAGTGGGTAGTATTAGCCCAGTTTTACAGATAAGACAACTCAAAAAGTTGTATTGCCTGTAGTTTGTTGTTGTTAAGTACTGTTGAGTCAGTTCCAATTCATAGTGATGCTGTATAGGGTCTCCAATGAGCAGCTGGTGGGTTTAAATCATCAACCTTGCAGTTAGCAGTCTGTTGCTTATCCTACAGCACCACACCTGGACTCCAGTAGGTAGTGAAGTTCAAATTTATCTGGCCCCAGAGTGTCAGAGAGTTGCTTTTATGAAGAAGTTTGAAAGTAGTTCAAACTTCAAAGTAGTTTGAAAGGATATAGCAGTATACAGATATAAAGAATTATTGTTTCTAAATTGAGAGTATCTTCTGTGAAGTTTGAGACTTCTATTTACTCTGGCAGTAGTATGTGTTAATAACATGGCCATCAATGATATTCTGGTATATTTAAACCATACTGCAAAAGTCAGGAAATGAAACCATCTCCCATGGGAATATTGAGACTAGAATTAATCAGAAGCTAATTAAAAATATCTGTCCCATCTCTAGTATAGCCAGCAATTTTTCCCAGAGTAAACTCATGCAAGAAAAATTCTGAAACAAATATAAATTTCACCCTAATAAAATGGATTTGTGTTTGATTTGCTACACTCAGCTATGGTCCTGAGAAAGGGAAAAAAAAAGAAAAATGGATATCAGGAAGTAACTGTTTGGAAACCAAGTACTAAATACAGGTGAGTGGGCTTACTGGGAAAGGCTCCTGCCAGGTGGCTCCCACAATGGACGGCCTGATGATGGCCGTGTTTAAGCTTCCACTTGCTTGTTTCACCAAGTTCTCTGCCAAGGCCTTGGTGTAGACATACGTATTGGGCCGGTCCCCGATCAGCTTGGGTGTGATCTCTTCAATGATGGAGTCATCTAACCACCTGCACGTGGTCAGAGTAAACAGAATTAGAATAATATACGTTAGACAATAGATTAAAAAAGAAACTAAAAAGAAAAGGTGCAGGCAGCCATGCAAAATTTCTATCTACTAGCTCAAAATTTCTATCTTCTAGAATTGAGAGTAGTCACAGGATACCAAGGATAAATGTGCACCTGTCCAAATCAAGCATGATGAGCTCCTCGGTTTATCACTGCTAAAGCCAACCTTACCCATCAAATGCTACCAGATAGATAGACAGATAGATAGGTGACAGATGAAACAAAACATCCAAACACACTACTTTTGAGTCAATTCCAATTCATGTTGTTGTTTTAGTGCTGTTGAGTCAGTTCTGACCCATAGCGACCCTGTATAGGGTTCCCGAGGAGTGGCTGGTGAGCTTGAACTGCCGACCTTGCAGTTCAAACGTCTTTGCAGTCTGGTGCATTAACCCACAGTGCCACACCAGGGCTCCAATTCCAATTCATAATGACCCTAAAAGAACAGAATAGAGCTGCTTCATAGAGTTTCTGAGGCTCTAAATCTATATAGAAGAAGACTGCCTCATTTTTCTCCCTCAGAGCAGCTGGTGGATTCGAACTGCTGACTGCTGAGTTAGAAGCCCACCATTTAACTCATTATGCCACCAGGGCTCCTTCAGATATATTAATTCAGAGATATGCAATCTACTACTTTATTATCTTATGAAATATGATCTCTAATTATATTTAATTACTTCCTTTCCAGTGGGTACATAAACAAGTTCATTGAACACACTTCTGAGCGCCTAGTGCTACAAGAGGTACTGTGCTTTGGTAGACAAGTACTTGCCCTCATAGAGTTCAAGGGTTTTTTTCTCCAAGGTGCTTCACTTTTTCTCCAAGGACAGCCCACTGATTCAGTACTGCCCAGTTAAGCCTAATGCACCAATCCTGAAACCTTCAACTTGTAATTAAAAAAAATTTACTCAATACCTCAATAAACAGAAACAACTACACTTGGCAGATTTACATTCAGTTTTAGCAACTCTATGAAATGCATTTTGAAAGTCTGATTAGAGTCTATGCTAATTTCTTGGTAATTATTTCCAGAGATGTCCAGTGAATTCTGAAGTGCTCTAATATAACAACTATCAAGTTGTAATAGTTTATACTATCAGCTACCAAGTGGAATGATTATAGTACTCTGAAACAGCTTAACTAGAACAATTTGATCATTCCACTTGGTACAATTATTCTTATTTTACAGGACAGAGCATAATCATACAATTTTGATTTGAGAAAATCTTAGCTGTTAGCATTTTTCTCCCCTGACAAATTGTTGGTATTTAAGATTTGAGCTCTGGTAGCATAGTGGTTATGAATCGGGCTGCAGACCTTGAGGTTAGCAGCCTGACTTGTAATCAGTATACACTATCAGAGTTCCTTAGATTTAGAAGCACAACTCACAAGTCCAATAACTTTTCTTTGATACTACGGGTGAAATATGAGCACTGATTTTATTGTGCTTCCTCTACTGATGCCGATCATATTATGGATACTCAATTACCTTTTGATTTATATTGAACTAGGAAAAGTTGATGAGTTTCTAGAAATTAAAAGCAACTTTAAACACTTTGGAAAAAGGAGAGATTCTAATTACATATCCACTTTATGGTGATAAGAGAGTGGAACAATGCACGGTGCTTACTCAAAATTAATATAACATTCCCACCACCTCATCTCATTGGTGGGACTGATTAAGGCCATTTCTTTCTGATTGAAAATATCTAGGCTGTAAAAAGGATCTGGAAGAAATTAACCTAATTTTAATAAGATTACCGGTAAAACAAATGTTAAGAACACATCAGACCCTACCAATATACTTGTACTGTAAGTTATGTGGGTGGCCTTTGTAGGTACTTGAACTGTAAGTTACAGGGTTGGCCTTTGTATGTACTTGGACTGTAAGTTATGTGGGTGGCCTTTGTATGTACTTGGACTGTAAGTTACGGGGTTGGCCTTTGTATGTACTTGTACTGTAAGTTATGCGGGTGGCCTTTGTATGTACTTGGACTGTAAGTTACGGGGTTGGCCTTTGTATGTACTTGGACTGTGAGTTACGCGGTTGGCCTTTGTATGTACTTGGACTGTGAGTTACGCGGTTGGCCTTTGTATGTACTTGGACTGTGAGTTACGCGGTTGACCTTTGTATTTGCTTGGACTGTGAGTTACGCGGTTGACCTTTGTATGT